AACCTCCAGGAAAACACTGGCATGCTTAACAGGGTTTGCTGGAAACTCCAGCTAGCCGCATTACTATTTCTCCGTGCCGGGGCGACATAGGCCAGCTGCCTCAAGAGTGTGGCAGTTGTCAACATCTCTATGGGCTTATGATTCTGTTTTTGAATGATGTTCCCCTTCGCCTGACTAATTTGTGTTTACATAGGCTCATAGACTCCACACATTCAAGCAGAGCAAAAGCCGTTCATGGGGTTAAAGGTGGTGGCTGATGCACTGTGCGATCCTTGCTCCTGCAGCTGATGCATTGGGATCGCCCAACGAGGGCGCAGACGTGCCTGTGAATGTGCAATATGTGTGTGCGTGTGCGTGTGCGTGTGTGTGCTTCCCGCTCCCTGTAAATGGAGCTACCGATGCCCCCTGTAAACTGATGACCGACTGCTGGCAAAAGCGCTTTGTAACTACAGTACAGGTAGGTCTGGAGTGACCAAAGCTGAATTTGATGCCCAGGCATAAAGCAATGCTGTGATCTTGTCTGTCGCGGGAGGACTTGATGGGGCTAAAGTACGAGACTGCATGGCATTCGAAGTTGCTGAAAGGAGGTTCGTCAGTCAGCAATAAGCAACATTGTCCGCTGACGGCATAGAATGGATGGTTGGAGTGCGCGAGTTCTGTTGGGTAAATTTGTAGGGTGATCTTGAACAGAGAGGTTCAGTACCGCGCTATGAGAGGGAATACTGCCAAGAACAGTTTGCGTTGGTGGGTTGGATTGGGATAACAACTTTCTTCTTCTTTGCTCTCTCCTCTCTCTTTGGGCTAGCAATACGCCATGGGAGCGGATCTGGCTGATGGGGTCGACCTCCACTGACTGTAGGTTGCAAGGCTAATAGAGGAGCCGAGCCGTACCGCTCGCGTCCCGCCTGTCCATCGCCCAAAGTCTAGGTTAACCTTGGTTGATGAAGTCGGGTTCGGCCGAGAACCTGAGCTTGGTTAACTGGTCGCGAATAAGCCAGTTATGGCAGAGCAAAGGATGACTCTTCTCTTGAAGCGTAGATTTTACTACAGAAGGACAGCGAACAACGAGATGCGGCAGTGATAGTGGCTGGCTGGATTGCGGGCGTCACGACGGATACTGTACCCAATTCGCAGAGGCAGGTCTGTCTCGGTTGCGATGATGTCTCTGAAGTTGTGTGTATGGATAAAGAAATCCGGATCTGGCCTGTTAGGTAGGTAGGTAAGCGGCAGGCATGAACTTCTCAAATATTTCCTACCTACCTAGGTAGGCGAGGTACCTACCTTTACCTTCTCTAGAATCTCGCTGGATAGCACTTGTCTCTCGGCAATAATTGTTTTTTCGTGCCGTGGTTTGCTCGCAGACGAGCCATTCCATGAGGATGGGGCACTGAATGTTTCCAGGTTGCTCTGCAGTTTGCAGGAACTAACTTCCCTGCTGGTTGGCTGATTACCTAGGTCTATGTAGGTCTAGGTCCAGGTCCAGGGCAGGAAGGTTCAGGGCAATCAGGAATCTATCTCCCTGGTATGGTACCTACCTGAGGTACCTACCTACCTAGTCCAGGGCAAGCACGCGCCAGACCCAGGCACCTTTTGGCAGGCACTTGGGCCACCCACCTTTTTCTGGTGCATAGGACATATATGATTGGCCAGAAAGGCTATAAGCGATGGGCCAAAACTTAAACCAAGGCCGCCACAGGATTTTAGTTTCATCGTCCACGTTGGGTGTTGGTCGCTGATCGCTCATCCGCCCGTCATTTTCTACAAAGTGCCCAAGCGTAACTGATCTGAGATCTCGCTTGGGGCTGGTGATGGTCAACTCTCGTCTGCGTCTGCCTGCGTCTGCATCTGCATAAGCACATACCTACCTACCTACCTCCCTCCCTCCCTAGAACTACGATTACTAGTGTATGGCACTGTACAGAGCTAGATGGGTATTGCACTGTACCACTGCCGCTTGATGCATTGGGTGATAGTGCGTGAGCCAGTCCTGCAGGGTTACACGTTTTGAGAAAAGCTTCCCAAGCCCATGACCCTAAAACACGACTCACAGAGCAGACCCATCTTGACCACCGAGACAAATCCAGTAATCAACCTTACGGTTCGTCGGTTGGTGGCTGGTTAGTGGGCACAATTCGGCAGGCCAACAGTCGATACATAATGATGTAGGTAGCTGTGCGATCAGAGAAACAGATGCAGGCATTAATACAAGACTCTTAGATTCATGGTCCGTCACCATCGCAGCTAGAATCGGCTGTTAGATATGGAGCGACCCCCATGTCCTATACAGTGCAATGGGAAGCATCTGCAAGAGTCGACATCCATTTTCACGGATTCTTATCCGAGCCGTTCCTGGCACAAGACAGAACGAACAAGCAATGCATCTACATACATACAGCAACCTCGTTCGTTAGGCCACTCCGAACAGTCCCCGGCTTGCATTTCTGGAGAATGGCACATCATATTTAGCATTCCCACTCACCGCATCAAATCAGCGACTTGGCATTTGCATATCTTGAAAAACAATGAACAACGTTGAGCCAAAGCTTCTAGGCTTTCGGTAAGCCATGGGCCACTGTCGAGCTGTTAACAGTATTGCACGGTATGGCCACAAACTTATCTTTAGCCTTGGAATCCAAAACCGCCGCTGGATAAAAAGCAAAAATTGAGACTCAAGAGGATGATGCAATACGACCGCGTATCCGGGCAGGCTGCTAGTCAATCTAAGCACTACTGGATCGCTTTGGTGTTTTTGGCTGGGTCGAAGACCGCCCTAATCACTCTCTGTGTCTCACATTAGCACAAAGTACTGGCTCAATCGCCTCAGTCATGCGTCTTGCTCATAGCATTGCTTTTTGCTCTTTCTTGGACTTTTGGCCTTTCGAGCAACTATTGATTGGGCCCTCAGTCCGGGGCCCACCATTTCAGCCATCGTTGGCATAACCCCTGTCGTTCAAACAGACTGAGTTCCTTCTTGCGAGCTTGATGCTGGTGCCGCTCACGACTGGATCATCAATCTGACTCTGCAGTCATGAGTCCAGATTCTAGCAGTGTACACACTAGCACTAGCCTTTTCAGCTTGTTGTGTCAACAGCACAGCTAGCCATGCAAATCTCATCTTGGAGGATCGTATCTGATTTGATACTATTTGGCACCTATGCCCTGACCCTTCTAAAACCACATTCAGATCCATCATTGTGTGGGGGCGTCGGAGCTAAGCGTGGGCCAACCGTCGTCTCTTCTCCTCAACACCCTTGAAATGAGCCCTGTCAGCCAGCTCTGTGGATCATGGGTTTGGCATCCACCTGTCCCGTACAGCTCGAGTTGACACTGCCTTGACCTTGAGTGGCTAGCGTCATGCTCTCTCAACCCCGTACTGTGCGACATTGACGATGAATGGCCCTTACACTCTTCCCTGCCTTTCTCCCACCCTTGGCTTCTTGACCTGGGTGATAGCTGAATATCTCTTCTTGTCGACCTGCTGCTGCCACCACAGCTGGGTGTTCCATTTCTCTTGCAAGACGTGCATTCGCACCCCCTTTTCTCCTCTGACCCCTCCACCTTTTGACCAGGCGGATACCTGGTGGCCACGGCCTGAGATCGGAGACTTACAACTGCTACCTACACGTATCCATTGATCCCTACATACTACTCATCTGGTGTGTCTGCGTGTATGCACTTCGAAGCAAGCTGGTCCCTGTCGTCTGTTTCCATTCTAATTCATTCAACAGGTGTCTGTAAATCTCTCTTCTCCTTCGCTGATTGAGATACGCCCACCCTGGGATAGCAACGGCACGGAAAGCTGTCTGCCCCGGAACTAAAGTCTTGAGAAGAGAGACAACGTTCATCCATATACTGAAGGCAGTGCGGGGACCTATAGACTCATCCCTCGTTCCCCAGCTTTACGTCTGCTCCAATTCTGTAACCTTGTCATATCACTTCATCCTCTTTTATCAACATCGGAAATCTTGTCTACCGCTCACTTCACCTTCCCGTCACGACGAACACCAATTCCTCGTGCCACTGTCTCTCAAGTCCTCTCTCGACAGACAGTATCGCTATTTTGACTTCGACCAGGACCCTGAGTAAAACCTTTCTCTCAAGTCAAGGCTCGGAGGCCCTGGCTCAGATTACCTTTTCACAGTTTACAACGTTGGAGATCAAGTTTTCTCCTGGAATACACCTCCCACTTTTCGACTTGTCGCGAGACGATAGACTAACTCTGCACTTGCAACCTCGCTGTGGCTGGATATACTCGACGGCATATCTAATTGTATCAAACTCTGCCCTTGACGAGCAACTCCACGCATCGACTTCAAGCTCGGCACGACGTATCCTGTCTGGAGAAGAATCTTGAAGAGTCTGCATTGCGAGGATTTGTCTCCTGGAAATCACCAACTTGATCAGATCATACTGTTCTGGCAATCAAACCCCACCAGTTCTGGAATTGGCGATATTCATCCTTTTGAAGGCGTCCCCCTGGTACACACACACACTACTCCAATTACCACCCCCATACTATTCCCGAACCCTTCTGCAACACCCAACCTGAGCCGCATCACACTGTTCCCAGGGATCCCACTCACCCAAGACAAACTTGTCCAAGTCGAAGGGCGATCAACACCATTGCTGGTCTATTATTATCTTCGAACTGCACTTTTCTGAAGAATCTGAGTTTTCTTTTGTTAAGCAGCATAATATCTTGCTGACTGCCTCAAGTCTGGCCGGAATCGCACCCACTTAGGACTTGAGTCACTATATATCGACTGACCAACTACCGCATATCACGACATGTTCCTGTGCTACAAGCTGTGCTAGGCCCTTGATTTTCCATTGGGTCTGTCTTTATACACCATCAATATCTGAGATTGAACGCCGGTGGCACAAACTTTTACCGAGTTTTGGCTTGCGCTTAGCCACTTGCCTTGCGGGTGTAATTGGCTACTCGTAGGCTACCGACAATTGACTCGAGCAAGTCGCACATATCAACAGCTACTAGAACCATGGTTAGAGATTGGACCAGGGAGCCGTTCTCCCGCCATAACCATCATCCTTACCTGCCAGAGAGATTTGTCGGGGATGGAGTTGACGATAATCGATTTCCAGAGGCTCAAGATCTGCACAGAAGACAGCCTCCAATGGTAACAAACTTCAAACTTGCTTATTGGAGTACTCGCTGACATAAGGCTAAAGCAAATCGCCGATGCTCTTCGTCGAGACTGTGGAATAGCGGTCAGACACTATTTCTTGGCTGTAGTAATGGATGATGGAAGCCCTCAAACCTTCTCTGGTCCAAGTACTTCGGGACCTCGCAGTGGCTACGAGAAACAGTTTTTTGATATGGAAAAATACATAAGTGCTATGGACCGCTTGGATTCTGGTTGGTCGATTTCCGCCCAGTTATGAGTCAGAGGGCTAACGTGAAGTCAGGTGCGAGCCCTGTTGTTGATGACTTCGGCTTCGATGGATACAAGCATTCCATGGACTTTCCAAGAAACCGTATGATGGACCGCCGACGAATGTCTCAGTTTGAGGATTGGGAAGTGCCTGCACGACAAGGCCGGAAAAGACCAAGAGCTCGCCAACACATCATTGATGAAGATGAAGCGCCCATGACTATATCGACAACAATCAGAAAGGGTATTCAGGTCGGAAACCCCACTGAGCTTTGGACATTTTATGAGCAACGTTTCAAAAACATGCAGCAAACAGCCTGTAAGCTCATAGCAAAAGCATGGGTCAAGGCCGTGGAGCCAAAGAAGCAGTCTACACATCCTTACACGGGAAGTGACGAGAAGGCACCCGACTGGTGGCCCAAGCCATGGGGTCCAACAAAGGAGGACAAGGTGCGGCATAAGGAGCCAGACCATCTCTATAAACGAGGTAATATTCAACATCTGATTGAGTATTTTCATATTCCCATCTAACAAACTTGAATCCAGAACGAGTTCATCTTCTTAATCACATCCTCAGAATGATCGTGGAGCCCAACAAGACCCAACATCCTGACATTCAAAAGCTAAATCTCAACGTGAAGAAGCTGGAGGAGATTACGATCGAGGCTCTTTCAGGCTTTTTCGCTGACAAGGATAATCCGGCCAATGCGAAGAAGCGGCCGTTTCTTAATGAGATTTTCAAAGTGGCCAAGCAACAGGAACGTTTCAAGGACGGGATGATTGGTAAGTCTTCATTTGTGGAAGCTGGATGGGTGGATTTCTAACCCGATCTGCAGATGGGACAACTGAGGTTTTTGTCATGGCAGACGATAAGATGCTTGATTCGTATGCATCCGGTAACGACGACGACGGGCCTGTTCCCAAGGAAGAGGACGATCAAGACGTGCCGCCAAACAAGTTGGCGGCAGTCCCTGGTCTGATGCCTTCGTCAAACAGCCACAGCTCAGGCGCTTCATTGCATGGCACACCTTTCCTCGGTGGAGAGCTACCCGTACGAGGCAACCAGTACAACCACTCGATGATGCAGGACATGGCTCCAGACCAGCATGGCTTCGTTGACAATAACGCCATGCCGGTGAATAGTCAGCCTACGGTCCACCCCAATAGCGGGAACCTCGGTATGGATATGGGTGTGCCTCCCGCTGCACATGATTCTGGACGTCGTTCATCCATTTTCAGCGCCTCAACAGAGTATGCGGGACAAAATGGCACACCGATATACACGCAGCAATGGCAGCCGGGTTCTACAGCGCCAAATTCGACGTCAATGTATACCTTTACTCAACAGCCAGCCAATCCACCAGCGACCGCTTTTGTCAGCCCCGGGGTTCCAATGAACCAGGCTCAACCGTATATGAATGCCTCGTTCGATGGAATAACGAGAGGATATGACCCCAATCAGCCTACTATGTTCCGAACAGGAAGTGTGGCACAACCGTCACAGGTCCATCCGACTCCGGGCTATGATTATATGTCTCAGGACAGTCGAGGGCTGCCCGGTGTCAAGGTGGATGATGTACCGCGACATGCGATGCATTAGACTGTGCCAGACTTGACGTCACCTTTTATATACAGCCCGTGACACATTCTTGCTTTTCTCATATGGTTATAGATTATGCATGGCTTAGGGCCTGGTATGACAGCACAGGTCGATCAGATCAGATTAGCGATGGTTCGTTACAGCCTCGCTTTTTCTCGGTTTACAGTTCTCACCGAATACCGGTACCAGCATGATTACGATTGCTCATTTTCATACGGCGGGCGGCTACCCTTGCCACTTGATTCGATACCCCAAAATATATCTTTTAGGACAATCTCGGGACGGTTTATTTGTTTTTGGCGACTGACCACAGCGTCTTGTTTGGGATAAACTATATTGTGCGTGCCTGCATTTTCAGTATCAAGTTTTGTTTCCCCGCGGGCTTGTTGGTTCCTGATTGGCATTTTCATGGTGTGCATTCTCGCTCAACGTGGACATTGGCATGCTCCAAATTGTTAATTACTGCCGAGCCCTGAGCAGACGATGATGGCTCATGGGTGTTGGGATAACGGCTACGAAATTCTTATGTTGACGACCAGAAACGCAATCACGATTAACGGTGGCGAACACGTTTACTAGCAGTGGTTCATTCATCATGTCCACGTGCGGACGATATCTCGAGTCCAAGGAAATAGGGTGATGAAACAGGGGGATGCGAAATGAGAGGCTCTCATATTCATAAGCAAATATGAAATAGACATGGGGCGAAGGAATCTTAAATATTACACTTCAAGTTCCAGCTTGCAGCTTACTACCTTTCGTGGGTACATAGGGTACATAGGGTCCGTTCGGTCAGTTCCTGTTGATTTCAGCTCTGAATGAGAAATGGTTGAATAACGCAGTGAGGAGGTTCTGCTCATGAGGACTGCTGCACACCTTGACGTAATGAGAGGTGATGAAGGGCCAAATGGGGGACCATTTCCCTATGTATTTCTCGGCTGAACAAGACCTGATCCAACATTTTAACGCGAGGAGAATAACAATACGACCATTCCTTGCTCCCCAGTTGCAAGGTCATGAATAACAGCCATGGTCAGGCTTGAGCGCAAGGGCAGAATTTGTCATGATCAATTACACCAGGTAATTTTCTAATACAGCACTCGTGAAATCCATGAACAAGAGCATATGCATGAGCAGACACATTATATGAAGAAAAGTTCTATCAACTGGGTTCAACACTCAAGCTACTGTATCGTATCGCACCGTGAAGCAGATACGTTACCTCAACCTTCTGCTGACCTGTGAGTGAATCCATCCACCAACGCCAAGCTACTTGAAACCGTCAAAACATTTAATCAAATCAAATCGGAGACAACATAATCACGCCAGGAGTATACTCATATGCACCAAGAAGGACTCTCTTGATACTCTGCTCTCTCCTGGTTGTGGGAAAATGTCGCTCCAGAATCCCGCGATTAACAAACAAAAACAAGATAACATGCAAAAACACAACCGAGCTGAATAGCAAATATTCACCGAGGGAACATTCGCTAGACGGGATGAGCCGGGGGTATACGTTATGAAGGTAAGTCCGAAATAGGGGAGACTGCCAACGCTGTCTCGTGCTTCTAGCTCGATGCATTGGCAGCTGTGTTCTCCTCTTTGGGCTGTGGAGGCTCGAGGCCTGCATTTTGTGCCACTCGCTTCCAAGTCTCGAGCTCGCGGTACAGACGCTCACATTCCTGCTTGAGTTTGTCGTTGGAAGCGCTCAACTCTGTTATAGCTTGCTCTGTAAGCAGCTTCTCGAGGGTCCACTTCTCGATATTTTGTTGCTCGTTTTCCTTGAGCTGGGAAATGAAGCTGACTGCCCGTTGTAGAATGGAGCCTTTGTTCTTCTCACAACCAGGGACGATCTTAGCGAGTTCGTTGATACCTTCGTTGATGGTTTCCCGACGGCGACGCTCCACTGTTTTGATTAGTATATTATAAGGCAATACGACAGATGAGATATCCATACCTTCTTTGTGGTTGTCCTTTCGCATCTTGTGCCACTCTTCTGATCCGACTGTTGGTTTGGGGTTGGGGGCTGCGGGATTGTATCGTGGTGGCTGATGCGGAACACCATTAGGTGGTGTATGTTGATGCTGAGGGGGGGCGACTTGAGGGGGGTCCATAATACTGTCAACTGTGGGTGTCACATCGGGGTTGAAAGTTGGATCATGGCCATGCTCAGGATCAGTGGCTGCCTGGGCTGCAAATTGCTCTTCTGTCGAGGGTGGAACATGTAGGGTGGGGTACATGCCGAGGGCAGCCTGTGCGGTGCTGGTAGCACTGGTAGGATCCGGAGCTTCGGGGTGATCGTGGTCTGCTTGGGCGGCCTGCTGCAGAGCGTTGAAGTCGGCGACGTTGACGCCATTCGCGTTGACGGCCTGGCTCTCCATGGCACTGTCGATGAAGGAGGCGGGGTCGGCAGACATGTGGGCAGCTGGGGCAGGGCGTTTATTCCTGGCGAGATCAGGACTGCCGGATTCGCGCTTCCGCTTCTGACCAGGGGAGCCGGTCAGGCTGGAGAGGTCTGGCTGTTCGGCAAGAACTTCAGCCATGGTTCAGTCGTGAGAGAAATATCGAAAGAAAAAAACAAGTGGTGTTTTGGTAGACGGGTTTGTTCGATCAAAAGCGCTCGCCAAGATTAAGGAGGCTGAGTGCAAAGTTTGATGATGTCGAGGCCACAGATGAGAGACGTTGACAATCAATCAAAGATCTGGATAGGGAAGGGCAGTTAGAATAAACTCGCTGCAGAATTAAGCTATGGGTAGATGAAGTGCGAGAGAGAGAGAGGGTTAAAGCAAAGGGATCCGGCCTCGAGTGACGGAGAAGAGGTTGAGCGTGCATCTGTTGGTTGGTTGAGTGCCAGCGTCAACTGTAACACGTGCACATGATGCGCTAGTCTTGTCGTCGAAGAGGACTTGAATCTTTGCATGGGGCATGGAAAGAAGAGAAAGCAGCGTGGGTTGTGGCTCGCTTGAGAAGTGAATGTGAGAGTTGCGATGACTGAGCGTAAGAGAAAGACATGATGAGGCGATGCGTCTGTGCTGATTCAGTCACTCTGTATGAGGGATGAAAACAGCGAGCAACGGAAGATGCTGGGACAGGCAGGCACAAGAGTATATTTATGCGATGCTCATGATGGCAGGCGACGTACAGTTGTGACTGTGAACTATGGTGGTTGATTCTGTCGATGATTCAAAGCAAGCAAGCAAGCAAGCAGTGAAGACGCACTGCCGCTTGGCAAGATGCATGCATTCATTTCATTTCGTTGCGTTGCGTTGCATCGCCAATCCTCATTCCATGAGCGCAAATACTTTGCAAAGGCCCATTTCTGAGTGCAGAGACTCGAGTTGCATTGTTGCGTCGTCGTGCAGATCATGAAATCAAATGTATCGTGAAGTGAATGAGATGCATGAAAGCGACATACCTCCCAGATCATGTGCTTCGAGGCGTGATCGTGCGAGATCACGAGTTTTCTCGTCTCACGTGTTTGCCTCGGTGGGATCTACCTCGTGATATCGCGCGAGTCCCAGTTGATAAGTCGACAACTTCGCGTCTGTAAATGAACGGAACCAGGACCAATACTCAACAAAGGAATTTTAATCGGAAAAAGGAGGAGGAATAAATCCTGGGTCTTTGATACGCGTTCGGGTCTAGATAAAGACACGAGGATCTTTATCTTACTAAAGGGGAAGAACGACTTCTCTCCCCGACGAAAATGGGCGCTTCTTTGGCTGGACGCGCAGCTGGGAACTGACACTGGGGAGTGAGCGAGTCGGGTCACGCGGCGGAGGAAGAGGGTGAACACGTGCAAGTGGGTGAGGCTGGTAAGATAAATAAGTTGACGCGAGTGAGAGGGGGGCAAGATACCTGCCTGAGGCCGAAATAAGTGGCCGAGATGGGAGAGGGCGACCAATAGGAGGGTCAGGTGGGCCACATAAGCTCTGAGATGGGGGGGAAACAGGCAGACAAGGAACCTGGAAAGGGCGAAGGCGTTATGAATCAATGTGGAAAGTGCCAAGGAAGGGAGTTAGGTAGTTGTTAGCTGCTGTCTATTGCACCTGGGTAACTGTATGATATGAGATGAGTTCACACCTACCTTACCTACCTACCTGCCTATTCTCGGTTGCTTGCCTATAAATAGGATCATACCTCTTACCTTATACAAGGTAAAATAGTAGTACATTGTTTTCAGAAAACTACATTACCTACCTAAGCCAAGAATACACCACAACACTAATAATCTATAATAATAAGCCTGATCCTCTCTTGTCTTAACTTGATTGTCCCGCCCATTGTCAGCTTGTAATACCTAGGTAGGTAGTAGCTCTCCAAATGCGGAGAATCATTACACAGCACTGGCCAATTAGGGAATCTTCAGGGATAGCAAACAATACTACACAATTACACCACACCACTAGAGCATGAGGAACCGGCATGTAATCACCTGATCCCATCCCACGTACATCACTTGACGCCGAGAGGTGAAACAGGTTGCGTCCTAAGATATCTGCGACAGATGATCCAATCTGGACTCGTCTGACACAGGAGCTGGTTCTGGGGGCTTCAGCAGGTTCAGCTCAATGTGCAATATGCTGTGAATCAAAATTGAACTGTATTAACACATTAAGTATTGGGAGTCACCTCATGGATGACAATACTGGTATTGACTTTCTGATTCCAATAATACATACACTCATTTGCTTTTAAGCAAAGGATCGTCCAAGTGCCACAGAAGAGGCGTTCGAGTATTGGAGTCGAGTCTGCAGTGCATATCCAACACGATCCCTAGACCTCTCAACTGTGAGATGTCAGGCTCGATACCGTGTCTCTCCACCATAATCTATTTACTTCATGCAGCCAGCCGACCTTGTGTTGAACAGACCACTGATGGTTCGCGGCATAAAAGGCATCTTGTCATACCAGATGCAGGCTGATGGTGAACACACGAGGTGGATGGATGTTGATACGCTAGCCTTGTATGGAGCATTTCCTCCGATTATTGTTGTTTC